TTTAGAGGGCTCTCTTGGTCTCTCCTAGCCACACTCTTTCACATGGGGTGAGGAGTCTGTGGGCCAAAGGGCCTAGCCAGGGCAGAGCGAACACTCCTCCTGTAGTCCATGCTCCAGCTGTTTGGGACCCTAAGAGTCTAAGTACATTCCAGAGCCTTCCCAGATCTGTGCTCCTGAGAGCGGCCATGCACACTAGGCCTGAGGCATGAGGGAGGGGCCGTGCTCCCAAGGTCCCAAGGCCTCTCCCAGTGAGGGCTGGAGCCAGGAACTGGAGAAAAAAGAGGGCCAGGTTGTGAGCCAGCAAATTCTATCGGCGCTCCTGCTCTGCCACCCATAAAATTTAGGGGTGGGCCTGACAAGAGGTAAGGGGAGCTAGGGCTGGCTGGGTAGCTTTCTCATGGAGTGGAGGACCTAGTGCTAAAGAGGAAATGACTCAGCCTGGCTTTGTAGGAAAACCAAGCCTCTGGGTGAAGGCAAGAGTCATTGCTAGGTCAGAGGTAAGGTCCCAGGACGGCATGGCCTCCCGATTATCAGGGCCAACCCCATGTGCAAGATTGCTCACAGCAAATTCTGCTGTCCCCCTTCTGAAGGGTGTGATTTTTATGAATAGCTACTGCTGGGTGAGTGCTTAACAGATTCTAAATAATTCAGTTACCATCTAATTAACCCTCCACAGCTCTAAAGCAAATAATGCAATTCTCCATATACAGACAAGGAAACAAAGTTCAGGGCAGCTGTGCAGAGTGGCCCAGGTCACACAGCCTGTGACGGCGGAGCTGCTTTTCTCACTCGGGCAATTTAGGCTGCAATGCTGCAATGGGAGTATAAACTGAGAGCTGTGAAAACGGAGCTCTTTACACCAAATAGCACCTACGAACTTACGTATTATTAAGGCTATTGTCCCTGACAATACATTCACTGAATCATTCAGTAAACATGTATTTTAATTTTTAAAATTTTTATTTATCTGTTTGTTTGTTTATATTTTGAGACAGAGTCTCTCTCATTTGCCCAGGCTGGAGTGCAGTGGCGCAATCTTGGCTCACGGCAACTTCCACCTCCCGGGTTCAGGCGATTCTCCTGCCTCAGCCTCCTGAGTAGCTGGGACTATAGATGTGCGCCACCACGCCCTACTAATTTTTTGTATCTTTTTTTGTAGAGACAGGGTTTCACCATGTTGGCCAGGCTGGTCTTGAACTCCTGACCTCTGGTGATCTGCCTGCCTTGGCTTCCCAGAGAGCTGGGATTACAGGCATGAGCCACCATGCTCGGTTATTCAGTAAACATTTAATTGTCTGTATCTACATGCCAGATACTTTGCTGGGTTACGAGATAGAAAGATGAGTAAGCTACAGTCCCTGTCTTCAAGAAATGTAGAGCAGTGGTTCTCAAACTTCAGCAAGCCCCAGAATCACCAGGAGGAATAGTTAAATCGCAGGCTGCGAGGCCCGCACTCTGGTTTTCTGAATCAGTGGGTGTGAGTAGGGTCTCAGCATGTGCATCTCCAGCAAGGTCCCAAAAGATGCTGACGCTGCTGGCCTGGAGAACCCACTTTGAGAACCGCTTTGGTAAAAGTTAGGGCAATCAAGATCCTCTCCGTGAGGCAACGTAGAATTGCACTGCTCTCCCTTCCCTGAGCAGGAGGCACGAGGATAAAACAAACCTCAGAATCACCCCTGAAGGAGGAAACCATTCCGAAGCTGCTTCAAGCACAGCAGAGCCACGGAGGGTGGCCTCGATGAGGTCTCCCTGGGAATGGGAGGCAGGCGAGCACCATCCCGTGAGCCCTCTAGAGCTTGTTAGGTGGTTTTTTTGTTTTGTTTTTTGGTTTTTTTTTTTTTTTGAGACGGAGTTTCGCTCTTGTTACCCAGGCTGGAGTGCAACGGCGCGATCTCGGCTCACTGCAACCTCCGCCTCCTGGGTTCAGGCAATTCTCCTGCCTCAGCCTCCTGAGTAGCTGGGATTACAGGCATGCGCCACCATGCCCAGCTAATTTTTTGTATTTTTAGTAGAGATGGGGTTTCGCCATGTTGACCAGGATGGTCTTGATCTCTTGACCTCATGATCCACCCACCTCGGCCTCCCAAAGTCCTGGGATGTTAGGTGTTTTATCACCTTGGCTGGATGGCTCACTTTCCTCTGGCCCCTCTAGCTGCCCATCCCTGCAGGCCCACAGCAGTTACCCTGACCTGGTTCAAACCTGATGGTGACATGCCTGAAGATCTTTCTACCAATCCAAGGGAAGGGGCCAGAATTCCCAGGAATGTATCTTCAAGTCACTTGCATTTGATTTCCGGATGCATAGAGAGGGCAGATGTCCCACATTGGCGTGAACCGAGAATGAGCCGGCTGCCTTGTGCTTTTCCTCTCCTTCCTGCAAAAAGGCCCAGAAGACGAACAGCAAGGAAAGCAGCACGATTGGCTGGGAGCCCCTAGGGATTAACTAACTAATTAATCACACAACAGTTCGACCAGGAACTAATTAATCCGTTAAGTACTTGGAGGGCCCAAGGCCCTGGCCAAGAGCAGGGAGAGGCTTCACTTCTCTCCAGAGGCTGGCGCAGAGTGGGACTGTCCTCCAGGGAGGGGCTGGGCGAGGACTGCCCTTCTCAAAAGCATTGGTTCCCCCTGCATCAGAAATCTGCTTCTCAAGCTATTTCTTGAGCCAGATCCCTGTGTCACTCTGCGCAGGGAACCGAATCGAAGAAGACAGCCCAGGGGAAAGGCAGCTGGGCTTCAGCCTCTCCAAGTATGGGAGCCACAGAGAGTTAGACCTGGAAAAGTCTTCAGCCATCTGGTCCCTCCAACCCTCCAACCCACTTTACGGATGAAGAATGGAGTTGACAGGTTACCCTAGTGGGCCATTTGGACTTAGAAACAAATGATGTTTCTTTCCGATCATTCCTACGCAGCACCCAGATGAGGGGAATTCAGATCACACTTTAGGCGCTGTCTTTAAATCCACCTCAGAAGTCAACAGGCACAGAAATCTTTCTTAAAACAGTGTAGTCTGGGCCGGGCACAGTGGCTTATGCCTATAATCCCAGCACTTTGGGAGGCTGAGGCAGGCAGATAATGAGGTCAGGAGATCAAGACTATCCTGGCCAACCTGGTGAACCCCCAGTCTCTACTAAAAATACAAAAAAAAATTAGCTGTGTGTGATGGCGCGAGTCTGTAGTCCCAGCTACTCGGGAGGCTGAGGCAGGAGAATTGCTTGAACCCAGGAGGCGGAGATTGCAGTGAGCCGAGATCGCGCCATTGCACTCCAGCCTGGCCAACAGTGCAAGAGTCCATCTTAAAAAAAACAAAAAACAAAAACAAACAAACAAAAAAACGTAGTCTGATTGACTAAGATCATAATTTTTAATATGATTCTTCATGAGCTTTGGTAACAAATTCAAGGCTGGTCACAACATATTCAGGTGGCTCTCACATAGATCTTTCTTCTCATTAGCTTTTCTGACACTCTGTTTAATCTTCTGTTTCCCTAAAACCCAGGTCACCTCATGTTACAACCTGATCTCCAAAAAATCTGACAGCAGCCATCTGGGGATGTAAGCTACTGTTAACCTTTCCCAGAGGATGTTTTTCTTTAGACTCTTCTCTCCTTACAGAACAAGGGGCTCTACAGCGTTAAGTGGTAAAAGAATCTCAGCTAAGCATGGGGGTGCCCACCTGTAGTCCCAGCTACTTGGGAGGCTGAGGTGGGAGGATTGCTTGAGCCCAGGAGGTCAAGGTTGCAATGAGCCGATATTGCACCATTGCACTCCAGCCTGGGTAAAAGAGAGAGACCCTGTCAGAAGAATTAAAATAAATAAAAATAAAAATAAAGGATTCTTAAAGACCAGGCAGCACGTATTAAGAAATTCTAGAGCAGACACTCCTAGAATCACAAAATGAAATGTGCAAGCCACATGTGAGAGTATCAGCAACACTGAAGGCTAGACTGCCAGCATGCTGAGTGGGGGCCACGCCCTCGATAATTCACTTAATGTGCGTGTGCAGGGTGCCAGACTCCAGTCCAGGTGCTAAGGGTGGAGGGTTGAATCTGACATGAGCCCATGAGGGGCTCCCTGTCTAGTGGAAGGGAGGAAAGGGCAATGATTAAGCCAAAGTTGCCTCTAAGATGTGATGAGTGAATTAAAGCACACTGTCTAGTCCCTGTAAACTGAAACCCTATCCTTTAGAATGGGGTCAACCAGGTGCATGAGACTTGGCATGGGGCTGATAGAGTCTGCAAATTTGCAAAGCTGCCTTTAGGCAGAGTTGGGGTGTAATGCTCCAGCTTTTGTATGTCTCAGCATCACAGAGAGAAAGAGCTTCTTAAAATTCCAGATAGGGCTGGGAGTGGTGGCTCACACCTGTAATCCCAGCACTTTGGGAGGCTGAGGTGGGTGAATCACCTGAGGTCAGGAACTCGAGACCAGCCTGGCCAACATGGCAAAACCCTGTCTCTACTAAAAATACAAAAAAATACCGGAGTATGGTGACGCATGCGTATAATCCCAGCCACTAGGGAGGCTGAGGCAGGAGAATTGTTTGAACCAAAGAGGCAGAGGTTGCAATGAGCCAAGATCACGTGACTGCATTCCAACCTGGGCAACAGAGTGAGATACCGTCTAAAAAAAAAAAAAAAAAAAAAAAAAAATCCAGATGACTCCACCTCAAGAGTTTCTGATTCAGTGGGTCTGGGATGGGGCCCAAGAATTCGTAGTTTTCTAACAGGCTCTAGATGACGCTAATGCCGCTTGTCCGGGGACCACGCATGGAGAACCACCATGCTGGAAGGTTCCGATCGACCCAAGGTGCCTTAAAGGAAGGACCTCCCAACAGGAGCCTCCACTACTGCCGCCAGGACCAGGCTGTGCTGCAAGGCCAAGCGTGCCACTCACTTCATTCATTCTCTGCAGACCTTTTCCTGCTGCTTTTAAAATTTATTTAGTTAGTGAGTTAGTAGGGTAAGTTTAGAGTTATTTATCTATCTCTGTTTTTCACGTAGAGTGAAATGGATGAGAATCAAATCCAGATGGCTGGAGACGATGTGGATTTACCTGAAGATCTCCGGAAAATGGTAAATGAAGATCAAGAAGAGGAAGAAGATAAAGATTCGATTCTTGGGCAGATACAGAATCTCCAGAACATGGACTTGGATACCATAAAAGAAAAAGCCCAGGCCACCTTCAGCGAAATCAAGCAGACAGCAGAGCAGAAGTGTTCTGTGATGTGAGGGTGGGGAGGGGTAGAGGGAGGGCACGAGCCGTCCTTGGAAAAGACCACTCTCCTGTGGGACGGTCCAAACAGTACATGTTTTCACATAGTGAACACAGTTAGGAAAACCACAATGATCTATTGATAAATAATAATTGGCTGTTCTAAATATTCCTGGCAGAGCATTAGCTAGCACCTTGCAGCAGGAACCCTGCTTTCCTCTTAGTTATAAATGAGACGGACTGCAAAATTTCCGTTGTAAATGGTGATACAGAACATGTATCTGCTTAAAGACTTTGAGATGAGCCAGGAAGAAACAAAAGCCAGTGGCATTTCCTCTCCAACTTTCTTCCTTAGAGGCCAAGTTCTCAGCCTGTCCAGCTATTCACGGGACACCGGGTCCCTTCAGAGGAAGATGTGTAGAGTCAAGGTGTCCCCTCCTTGGAGGGCAACCCTCTAAGAAGCTGGGATGCCCACAGGGAGCGGAGGCCACAGACTCCAGGGCAATCAAAAGTCACCCTCACCCCTCAACCGCTCAGGCTCCTTGACACTTGCCAGTGATTCTCATCAAGTTTGGTCCTTGGGCACTTCTCAGCCAAGTGGCAGTAGCAGGGATGTGGTGAATGGTGAGGAATTGAGGCAGGAAATAGACCTCACCAGCCCTTTGTGTTGGACATCATCATTCTAGAGGCCGTGTGAAAAATGGACCCGAGGGAGGCACAGTTAGAGGCAGAGGAGAACCAGGGACCCGACTGCTCTTTTTGAGTTGAGCTTAACCCTGTACTTGGTGATGGCAATGGGAGCACAGAGGGTAGACTAACAGAGAGCATTAAGAAGTTCAACCAGCCTCTCTGTCTGCTCCGAACCTCTCTCTCATCCCCTTCCGCCCTTCCTGTCCCATCTCCCTCTCTTTCTCTTTTTTCTTCTCCTGTCCCTTCCCATCCCACCCCTTCAGGCTACCTTCCAGTAAATCACACTGCCATTTGGTACCACAGGCTTTCAGGGTAGACACCGATTTTTTTTTTCCCCCTAACATCTGCTCTCTTTCAAAAGGAGTAATTCAAAAGACTTAGGACAATTACCACCAAAACACTTGGAGCTATGTAGCTAAAGCCCACCAAACCAAAACAAAATACCGTTTTTTTTAGTGAATCTGTTCATACGGTGAATAAAGATCGAAAACAAATTTTGTCAAGAAGAACTGCTCTATCAAAGGAAAAGGGCACTAGGACTAAAAACTTAGGGTCTAACTTGTTCTAAACCCCAGCGTTCCCAAATGCGTTGTATAAGAAGTTTCATGTTTTAAAAGTATTCAGATAAAACAAATGACTAGAGGTCCACAACCTTTGGTCCTTGGCAAAGTTTAGCCTGTCTCAGAAGTTCCCGGGAGGACATTGGTGCAATGATTGAGGCTAATTAACCTTCTAGTCCACAAACACAGCTTTAGCTTTAAAATACTTTAAAATATTAAAATATATTTTAATATATTTTAAAAAATATATTAAAAAGCAAAAGCTTTTTAATACTTTTATTAAAGTATTAAATACTTTAATAAAAGTATTTAAAAGCAAAAGCTTTAAAATACTTTTTTAAAAACTGCAATATAATAGATAAGATTTGTCTTTAGTTTAATGCCTGACTCTGCCCTGTGGCTGACGGGGTGGGTAGTGAACACCAGTGAGGGGAGTGCCTGTGGCCTGATGTTTGTACACTTTGTATGACATAAAATGCTACGGCTGTCAAATTGTTCCACAGACTAGCCTCAGGATGACATGGAAGACGTGCTTTCTTGTAAAAGATGCAGCCAGTTCTGCTAAGGAAATCACTAATACTTCCTCTTGACCGTCAAAATCACTTCAGTGTAATTTGGTCATTGTCTAATGAAGCTGTGCAGCTGCTGGAAGACTCTGACTGTGATTCCTCACATATCACACTGCACAACCCATGACACAGCCCGGTACCTCACATCACCCCACACAATGGTATCCCACATCATGTCACCCTAGACCACAACCTATCACACCACATGACACCACAACACCCCACCCCACACTAATCCACCCCTCCCCTCACCAAACCACCCCACCCCAATCAACACCAAACCACATGTGTGTGGGTTGGGAGACAGAGGGCATCCAGAAGGCCCCTTTCTCTCTAGAGGGTAGATAGGCGTCTCTGCTGTGTGATGTTGATGTGCACAAAAAGGTCTCCCATCATGAAAACCTAGAATCCAACAATTATAAAGGACTAGAAGGGAATCGATTTCAATCTCCCATACAATAAAGGGACCCTTTCCAAGTTACCCCAATTGAGTCTTATTTTAAAGCTTCCAGTGGTACAGAATTCACTATCTGCTGCTCCAAGGAAATTTGACCACCAGTCCCTCTATTTGTAGACAGATCTAGTTGTTAGAAAATTCTTCTCTTAAGCTGAAAATGGTTGCATCTTTAATCCACTGGTCATGGTTCTGTTGAATGGAACTGCACAGATTGTGCCTGCATTCCCACTCAGGCTTTGATACATCCCCTCTCAGTTTTCTCTTTATCAGGAAGACATCCTTACTTCTTTTTGTAAGTTCTCATCATATTACAGTAGGAACGCTGTAAACCCACTGGGTAATTGAGCTCTGACTGCCAGCATCTAGGAGTGAAGCCAGCCATGCAGAAAACGACATTGTTGTTGCCTTCCACACCCTGCCACTAGACTTGATGCTTGAAGCCATTCCTGAGCCAACTCATGGTCAGGAATGAGGATTTTAGTACCAATTCCACTAGCACATGACCTTAGACAAGTCATTTATTCTATCTGGAAATCCATTTTCTCAACAGTGAAAATCAAGGGGCTGGCTTACTCTACATTCTGTAATTCATTCTATGATTTCAGGGTGGTCACTGTGGAGATTTATCTTGTGAAAGAGAACACATTAGCCCATTGTCACTGCCACATAACTAGGTTTCAGTCCCTTTACTAGCTTCAACTGAGCAAAAGGACACCTGGCCCCATGGGTGAGGGGGAGGAAGAGAGAATTTTGATAGATGCTGTAAGAGAAAGGATCAGGAACATGGAGTGTTGCCCATGGAGAGAAAATCTAGAGATCCTGGTGGGAGGGGTGGGTTGGGGAGTTTCTATCCAGGCAGAAGGAACCGTAGTGACTTTGGGGAGAGGTGCTGAAGAATAAATTCCAAGAAGACAAATTAAATGGACTTCCCAATTTTGCTTAGAGTTAGTCTAGTCCCAATTAGACATGGGCAGCTACAGTAAAATGAAGCAGGAGTTCTTTTGAAAGACAATTCATATGGTGAGCTCGGTTATCCAGAAACCAACTAATCTAGTTTGTGAGTTATATAAGTACCTCAGTTTTGCTTCTGGCACTAGAAATTTAGTCAAATTCCTACTTACAAACAGAACCATCAAGGAGAAGAGTAAAATTAAAAGTGAAAAATCTAGAGCTTACAGCCTCTGATAATGGAGAATAAGTTCCTACTGGATCAACCCTCCTGGAAATAGCAACTATAATCTATAAACAAAATACAGAAAAACAACTGCCTGAATGCACTGGAAGCAGCCAGAAGCAGGTCCACACTGGAGAGAAATGAAACCTGAACTGGGAAGAAGAAAAAAGCACTGGTGAGTTTTCCTTTGCTTACAGGTTTCATCTGAGGGCAGACCCCACTTGAAGCCAAGCAAGACAATTAAAACTCAGAAAACCTTCAGCCTTAATGGCTTGAAGAACCAGCAGAGTTTGGGGTGCCCACAGCAGCTCAAAATGAAAGAGCGAATCCTAGAAAGGAGAGAGCCATAGGAGGGGGATGCTGAATTCTGTGTATAAAGTCTCTTCAAGATCCTGGCTAAGCCCTGAACAATGCGTAGAGTAGGCATACTCCAAGCAGTCAGTGAAGGCTAAACAAACGGAACTAAGAATTCTGTTACTGCCCACTTAGGAGAAACAGAGTTTTGAGTTTGAATCCAGCCACGTTTGCTGACTGTGAAGCAGACAAACAAATGAAAGTAAATTTCAGAAAAACATAACAGAACTCAGCAAAGTAAGTAGAAGGAGCACAAATTAATGAAACAGAAAACAGACAAACAGTAGAAAAAATTAAGAAGTCCGAAGTTGGTTGTTTAAAAGATCAACAAACTTGACAGACACCTAGCTGGATTGCTTAAGAAAAAAATAAGAGTACACAAATGACTAATGTCAAAATTGAACGAGGGGATACACTACAGATCCTACAGATACTCAAGAATGATAAGGGAATATTATGGAGAACTTTATGCTAATAAATTTGACAGATATTTGGGTGAACTTAACAAATTTCTTGAAAATAATGTGCCTCACCAATACTGATGCCAGATATATAGAATAACCCTATGTCTTAAAAAAAAAAAAAGAAATAATTATTAAAACCCTTCCCACAAAGAAAACACAAGCTTAGATGGCCTCACTAGTGACTTTTATCAAATATTTATGGAAAAAGAGCACAATCTTGCCCAAATTCTTTCAGAAAGAGGAAGAAGAAATTCTTCTCAAGTCGTTTAATAAGGCAAATATAACCCCGATGTGAAAATCTTATAAAAACATTATTAAAAAAAAGAAAATTGAAGACCAATATCCCTGTTGAATTTAGATTTTTAAAATCCTTAACAACTAATAGAAAATAAAAATCCAGGCTCAACGTGGTGGCTCATGACTGTAAGCACTTGGGAGGCTGAGGTGGGCAGATCGTTTGAGATCAGGAATTCAAGACCAGCCTGGCCAACATGGTGAAACCCCATGTCTACTGAAAATACAAAAAAAATTACCTGGGCATGGTGGTGTACACCTGTGGTCCCAGCTACCTGGAAGGCTGAGACATAAGAATCATTTGAACTCGGAAGGAGAAGGTTGCAGTGAGCCGAGATCACACCACTGCACTCCAGCCTGGGAGACGGAGAGAGACTGTGTGTCTCAAAAAAAAATAAGAAGAAGAAAAGAAAAAGAAAGAAAAGAAAAGAAAATCCAGCAATACAGAAAAAGGATAATATATCATGAACAAATGATATTTATCTTACAAATTCAAGGTTGATTTAACATTCAACACTCAATAAATATAATTCACCATGTTAACACAATAAAAAGAGAAACCCCATATCATCGTTTATGTCAATAGAGAAGGTATTTATCAAAATCCAACACCCACTCTTGATTTAAAACTCCCAGCAAACCAAGATTAGAATAAAACTTTATCAACGCAATGAAGAACATCTTGGAAAAACCAACAGCTAACATCCTTGATGGTAAAACATTAAATGCTTTCCCTAGAAATGGAAACAAAGCAAAAACATTTATTCTCTTTATGTCTTTGCAACATTGAACCGAGG